ATATCTCCGAAACTAAAGTTCCAAGAAAAGTCGTAATATATCTACAAATTCATTTACACACTAGTAGATATAAAAAGCATTTTTCGTAAACTCTGTCTCAAATAGTTTCTGAAAAATAAAATTAATTTTTTTAAAAAGGTCCGATTAAATTTATATCTCCGAAACTAAAGTTCCAAGAAAAGTCGTAATATATCTACAAATTCATTTACCCACTAGTAGATATAAAAGCATTTTTGGTAAACTCTGTCTCAAATAGTTTCTGAAAAATAAAATTAATTTTTTTAAAAAAGGTCCGATTAAATTTATATCTCCGAAACTAAAGTTCCAAGAAATGTCGTAATATATCTACAAATTCATTTACCCACTAGTAGATATAAAAAGCATTTTTGGTAAACTCTGTCTCAAATAGTTTCTGAAAAATAAAATTAATTTTTTTTTTAAAAGGTCCGATTAAATTTATATCTCCGAAACTAAAGTTCCAAGAAAAGTCGTAATATATCTACAAATTCATTTACCCACTAGTAGATATAAAAAGCATTTTTCGTAAACTCTGTCTCAAATAGTTTCTGAAAAATAAAATTAATTTTTTTTTTAAAAGGTCCGATTAAATTTATATCTCCGAAACTAAAGTTCCAAGATAAGTCGTAATATATCTACAAATTCATTTACCCACTAGTAGATATAAAAAGCATTTTTGGTAAACTCTGTCTCAAATAGTTTCTGAAAAATAAAATTAATTTTTTTAAAAAGGTCCGATTAAATTTATATCTCCGAAACTAAAGTTCCAAGAAATGTCGTAATATATCTACAAATTCATTTACCCACTAGTAGATATAAAAAGCATTTTTTGTAAACTCTGTCTCAAATAGTTTCTGAAAAATAAAATTAATTTTTTTAAAAAGGTCCGATTAACTACATATATATACTTCTATTATACTTCTTAACTACATATTTTATAACTGCTTTGAAGAGTAATAACTTTTCTTCCGTACCTGTATAAAACGGTTGCTCGTAGAGATTTTTACCAAGAGACATTTTTACGTAAAAAATCACGGTAATATATATTTCTTCACTCAGTAGTTTATACCTTTCAAAGCAGTTAAAGCACATGTAGGTGGCGCCCCCTACAAATAGGAGTTATATGGACATCAAAATCAAATTTCTCATATCAAAAACCTCCCAGACACAAATAAATTATTTAGAAAAAATATTTGAAACTTCTACACCCTGTATCTTCGAAACTAAACATTTTAGGACATGCATTTATACGAACTTTTTTATTTATTTTTATCTGCAGAATATGTTGCCGAAGTTTCCAGAATACAATTCGGACCACCCTGTATATCACATATTATTTTTTTATTTCATTTAAATGGGACAATTTTTCTAATAAGCGTGCGTAAAGAAGTTTTACTTCAAAAATATTCTGAATAGAATGGAATATGATTTGTCAACTTTGGATCTCTTCGCTTAAAGAAATAGTTTTTTTAAATCTCAATCTAGAGTGCTATAGTCTACTAATTTTTAGTCCAGAGTTAAGGCCACTAATTTTTAATCAAGGACCCTTGGAAAAATACACTTGATTGACTAAATGTTTTCGCTTGATTTCCTGGTCCGTTTAAAGATGTCGAAATCGTATTTTTAATCATAACTCAATTTTTTCTACTGGAGTGAGTGTAGTCCATCAGCATATTTGTAAAAAGTATTTTTTTACCAAGAATTTGGTACCATACACTTGGTAATTTGCATCAAATTGTCTTTGCTGATCACAGGCTTGGCACTGAATAAGGAATTTTAAAATACTATTTTTTAAGCGAAATGATAAAAGTTGACAATGATAAAATCATTTGACTGGTTTCGTTACTTGTTCAGTTTTAATTTAAAAATACACACACCGGAAAAGTCTAGGGATATTACAATTTTATCCAGCCAATGTCAGTAATTTTATTATTTGCATTTCTGATATAATAAAATTAAAATAAACAAATAGTTTACAGGACGTATTGGAAATAAAAATGCGAAATTTACCGAATTTTTCAAATTTACCTTGATTTTTATTGAACTCAAAAAAATACACACATTTTTTTAAATTCTAAACTGTGAATAAAAAAAAAGTAAAACCATTTTTACATAATAAAGGGTATAAGCCTCCTCTACTGTTCATTACAGCCCTACATCGTCTCTCCATGCTCCTGATCAGGTTAGCATACCCATTCTCAAAATTCTTCTTTGGACCGCGTCCCATACGTGCTCGATGGGGTTGAGGTCAGGAGATTGTGCCGGCCAGGGTAAGATGTTTAATTGATGAGCATTGATAAACTCACTCTGGCTGTATGAGGCCGTGCATTGTCATGCATGACAGTGAAGTTTCTCCCAAAATCATTGGCATATGGTAACACGACAGGCTCCAGAATGAAATCACGGTATGTGATTCCTGTTAGAAACCTTTCAAGAAAAACGAGATCGGTTTTTCGGCCTAACTGGACTCCTTCCCAGACCATAAGTGTTCCACCTTGATAAGGGTGCACTTCCTGAACCTGATCCAACCGAATAAGATTTCCCGGTTCTCTCCATACCCTAAGCCTTTTCGAATCCGGATGAATTCCAAAGCGTGACTCATCCGTGAAGAGAACATTGGCCCATTGTTCATTCGGCCACTGAACATGATTTTGAGCCCACAAATATCGTACCTCTCGATTTCCTCTCGTTAAGGGTTGAGCTCTCCAGGGGCGTCTGCTTCTTAAGTTGACCTCTCTTAATCTATTGCGAACAGTGTCAGGACTAACGGTTACATTATGTGTTTCCTGGAGAATTAAACTAAGCTCTGGTGCTGTAAGAGTTGGTCGGCATCGAGCATTTAATTGTAAAAAATGATCTTGCCTTTCAGCAACATCACCACTTTCACGGTAGCGTGCACTTAATCGCGATATAACACTTTGCGTTATATTTGCTACTAGCTATGATTGCTTTGCTATCTAGCTACGTCGATTTGGCGCATTCCAGCTTCAAGCATAACCATGGCCCTCAGCATTTCGTCTCTGTTAAGATGTCTACGCTCCATAATGTCGTTTAATACTAAACAGAGTTATTTAAATGAATTCTGGCCAGTTATCATAAAAACATAGCCAGTACAGGTTAAATTCGAACAATTGAGGCTAGGTGCTTTTTATGCATTTGACAAAAAATGCACAAACACTTCTGCAAATATCCCAAATTTAGAAATAACTAGTGTGACTACTTCGTTTCAATCGAAATAGAAAGAATCGGCCTACAAATATGTGGTTGTTTATTCAAAACATTTATTTTTAACTTTAATAAAATGATATCCCTAGATTTTTCCGGTGTGTGTAGATACAATCTTTCTAAAATTCATTAAAATCGGCTTGCCCAAAATTGTTCGAATTTGTCATGTGTATTCAGCATAGGAATATCTTTAAAAACCTATTTGCAACTTAGCTGTAAAATGAATAGGGGAGCCAATATTTGGATAGTTCAAAATTTGCATGGGATGGTTCCTATGTTACCAGCGATGATGCACCACCCGGTATATGATTAAAATAATTGAATGCAGTAGTAAAAGGAAAGTGTATTGGTGCATAAGGCTAATTAGTGTTTCTAACAGCAAAGCATCCAACCCCAACTGTATAGTGTAATGAGTACCTATGTTTATTTGTAATACTACGTTTTAATTAAAAAGAAGTAGAAAAAAAATTGGTCAAGTGCGAGTCGGACTCGCGCACGTAGGGTTCCGTACCATTATCTATACAACATTAGACACTATTTTTTTCCGATTTAGCTGAAATTTTGAATGCGCGTATAAGCAATTAAAAAAAATAAAGAAACACATTACTAAAAATTGTATTAATCAATAATAAATATGTAAAAAGTAAAAATAAATATGTAAAAATATGTAAAAATTAAAAAAAAACGATTAAAAAAGTCGTCTTGACTAGCATTCGAACCAGCCTTACTACGGCTCCAACGTCATAGCAGCGTAAAGTCCTAACGCTTTAACCACGCGGCCACCGAGGACTTGAAAGATTCTATGTAAAATTCTTACTTAAAATATAATAAAGAAAGTACTTTTTTTTTTTTTTTTTTTTCAAGCTTAAAGCCGGTTTTAGCCACTAAGTCGGGATAATTCTTATCAACGACCTAATCGCGGTTCAACACAGTGCGAACGATAGAACAGGTAGAAAGAATTGTGGACTTCTGCATGGTAGAGATGATTCTTTCCAGGTTGTGAAGTTGGAGTTTTTTAAGGCTTTGAACAAGGTTTACGTCTACTAGGCCGTTACAGGTAAATATTATTGGTAATATAAAAGTCTTGCTCAAATCGTATATAGCTTTTAGTTCTTGCGCCAGTGCTTCATATTTTGTGTTTTTCTCTTTTCTTGCATTTTTAATATTTTCGTCTAGTGGTATTGTGATATCCAGCAGGTAAGCATGTTTTTGTTTTTAATAGAAGACTACTATATCAGGTCTATTATGCTGCACAGTACGATCTGTGATGATGTCAGTATCCCAGTATACTTTTACGTTTTCGTTTTCTACTATTTTTTCAGGTAAGTATCGGTAGTAGGGTGTAATTTCATTTAAAATATTTTCTTTTTTACAGATTTCTTGGTGTAGAATACTAGCCACCCGGTTGTGCCTGTCCAGATAATATCGCGGTGCAAGATAGGTACATCCAGAGCAGATGTGTTGAATTGTTTCCGGAAAGGCATTGCATAGTCGGCATCTGTCAGTAGGTAAATCCTTTTTGGCTATTATTTTTAGGAAATTTTTAGTTGGTATTTGCTGGTCTTGTATAGCTATAATAAATCATTCGGTCTCAGCTCTGAGCTCTCCATCTCTAAGAAACCGTAATGACAGATTTCGGTGAACGTCTGGGTTATATAAGTTGGATGGATATCTTCCATGCAAGGCTTTCCCTTTCCACTCCTCGATTAGTTCCTCAGCACCCCTAGTACCTGCAGGTAATCTTTGACCTGCTAAGTTTAAAGGTGTGAAATTCCTGTCGGCGGTCTTAATAGTGAAAGGAGAGGGTCATTTGATTGGTCAAAGTAATGCTGCAGACTTCTGATGTGCTTTTCATGCATAGCAATGAGACTAATAATTCCTCTTCCACCTTTGTCCCTTGGCATGTAGAGTCTAATGGTTAAAGCATGGGGGTGGTGTATTCGGTGCCTTGTCATTGATGTTCTGACTTTCCTATCGAGAGACTCCAGGTCGGTTTGTGACCATTTTAGAACTCCGAATGTATTAAGAATTACAGGTGCTGCCCATACATTGATCGCAGCTATTTTATTCTTCGCATGAAGCTCTGTTCTCAAGACTTTACAAACCCTCTTCATAAATGCATCCTCCGCAGTCTTTTTTATTACTCCATCATCAATTTTTAGAGCTTGATGGATACCAAGATATTTGTAGGTTTCACCTAGATGTAACGGTGAGAATGTTATTTCGTTAGTTAAAATAATCTCGTTAGATTCTTCGATTTTCCCTTTTTTACAGTGCAAGAATGCACATTTTTTCATACCGAAATCCATACGAACAGCTTGGCTAAAGGATGCTACAAGTTCCATTTGCCCTTTAAGTTGTTCTGGGTTGCTCGCGTAACATTTTAAATCATCCATGTAAAGCAAATGGGAAATCTTTACTTGGGGATTGTTCTTCACAGCATAGCCATATTTGCTAGACTTAAGCATAAAACTTAGTGGGTTTATGGCCATGCAAAACATTAGTGGGCTCAAGCTATCCCCCTGGAATATCCCTCTTCGGACTTTTAATGGTTTGGTTTGATAGCTGTCCCTTGAGGAAGTAACGAGAAGAGATGTTTGCCATTGCTGCATTAAATATTGAAGAGTTCTGACTATTGAGGTATCTATCTTGTAGATCTCCAGAATTTTAAGTAGCCATGAATGTGGTACAGAGTCGAACGCTTTCTTGTAATCGATCCAAGCGATAGATATGTTTCTTTGGTTTTTATATGCTTGCTTTCCGATTACATTATCAATTATAAGCCACTCTGTACTTCCTCTAGACCCTTTTCGGCTGCCGTTTTGTTCTCTTGCCAGTATATGGTGATTTGTTAGGTGTTTTGATATTGATTTTTCGAATACAGACGTGAAAATTTTATATATGACTGGTAGGCAAGTTATTGGCCTGAAGTTTTTAGGATCATCAATAAATTTATTTTTAGGTATCATATGCGTGATGCCCATGGTGAAAAAAGCAGGTATTGTTTCAGCGGGATTTTTTATTGCTTGGGTCAATTGTATTGCCAAGACTGCATGGACATGTGTGAGGTGCTTCCACCAGTATGCCTGGATTTTATCAATTCCGGGTGCTTTCCAGTTTCCTAGTGAGCTAACGGCCTGTTTAATATCGTTCTCTGTTATCTGGATTTCCCTCATTTTCGGTAAATCTTGCGTGCGGTGTATTTCTTCTTTAATCCAGTAAGCATCTTGATGTTCTTGCTCATTTCCCCAGATGTTATTCCAGAAGTTATACATTTCATCAGCTTTAACAAGCGCCCTATCAGGTTCTTCTTTTTGGGTGCTCAGTGCTCTAAGAAACAACTTCTGGTTGGTAATAAATTGTTTATTTTGTTTGCGCCGTTTTTCACTCTCATTGTATCGTCGCAAACGACACCCTAATGCAGCTATTTTTTGTTTCAGGTTGTCCATAAATTCCCTTAGGATACGAACGGAACCAGCTTCCAAGTTATTTTGTCGGATGATATCATTTACTATTCGTTTGGTTCTGTTCGACGGGTTATCATTTGTTAGGTATGTATGTAGTACTCCAATAGTTACCCTAATATCTTTTATTTTATTTTCCAGTCTCCTCTTCCAAGGTGGTATTTGAGGTTTATGATTTGATGATTGCGCCATCTCTCCTATCCTCAATCCGGTAACATGACAGACAGCAGCAGCGGCGCAGTAGATTAAATCACATGTGTCCTGAAGAGATAAACTTTGCGGTAAGTATTGGCTTAATGCTCTATTCATGATGGCGACAGTTGACTTTGTTTGATTATTATATTTAATTTTAGGAAGCCTTGGACGACTTAAGAAGTCAACACCACTATATTTCATACGGTACTCTTCAAATATCCGTCCAATTTCTTCGGTTACTATATTTTCTTCAGGGTGTGGTATGACCGAGTGCCGTGATTGTCTGCGAATTGAAGACGCGTGTTCACGGGATTGAGGTGTGTTGTGGGTGGTCTCTGAAATTTCATTTAGGTTGTCATTCTGTTCCTGTTCCGGGTCTTGTGTTTCTGCTAGTACTGCTTGCTTTAGATGATCCAGTTCTGCGTTTGATATGACTTTTCTACGTAATACTGAGCGTAATTGGTCTGCAAGTTGTTGCGATTCTCTAGGGAAATCGGGTCTAAGACTGATCCACTGTTCATAAAGCCGTATTCTATATCCTGTCTTGTTCTGTTCGCCATTAGTTGCCCTGTAGTATGCGCGTATCAAATCTAGGTTATCATTCCTGGTCCAGCGCACACGTCTCGTGCGGGGCTGCGGGTTAGGAACGGGGTCATTTTGAGTACGACCCAAGTTTTCTAACCCTCCATTATCGGTGCTTTGTCCGTTTCCGTCGCGTGACCTTGTGGTACGATTTCGCGTTGGGGCGCCACTTGCTTCGCCTACCTCCGCTAAGGTCGGTTCAGTCTGGCGAACAGGCGCCGATCCTCCACCTGTCGCATCCGAGGCTTGTTTTCTAGTTTGTAGAACCGATTATTTTATCTTCCCTTGAAGGGTGGTTAGCCCGCCAAAGGAGAGTTGTGACCGTCTAGGGTCAAGTTTTGTGTTATGTGTCTGTATGGGGATAGGTGTATGGGAAGATAGTCTGTATTAGTGGAGCCCGCTCCCGTCGGGGTATGGCACAGGCTGTACGGCTTGCCCTGGGTACCGTAGCGGACACAGTAAAGAACCCTATCCCGGTTACTTTCCTCTGTCTGGCCTGACTATATGACTAAGTACTTTTTACTAAAGTACTTTTTTATTTATAAACATTTATTTAATTCTGTTTTTAGTATTTGTTCTTTTAGCAGCAACATAGATACATTATCTGTAAAAATTTCAACTGTCTAGCTATAACGGTTCATAAGATAGACCTTTGTGACAGCGATAGATTTTGTTTGGGCGGATAGCAAAGTCTAAATAGTAATAGGGTTCCCGTTTCTACTTTTTGGGTCCGGAACCCTAAAAAGACTCAAAGTCTCGTTTTGTTTCTACTTCTTTTAAATTTTAAACCAGGTCTTTTTGGATGCCTTCTTAAAATACTACGTTTTGCTACGAAAAAATATTGGATAATGTATGTTAAATTATTGTAAGGCTGGACCATATAATTGGTGGCTTGCCGTCTAATTTAACATGGCAAGTACAAAGAGAGTCAACTTGTTCCTATATGCACTGTGACATACACATTACACAGATTGGATTTTAGCGTAGCCAAACCTATTAGGAGCGACACGTAGATACTAGGTCAGGAAATGATAGCCAATCAGAACTACCAGACATTAAACATGGGCTTAAATCGACCAGTTAAGACGAATTCTTAATCGGATAACTTCGATTACGTACAAATTAATTTATATAAGCGATACCAATTAAAACTTTAGTTACATAATCGAGGGCGCGATTTTTAAATTCATTGTTGCCAACTATGGATATATTCGGCGCCGGGCTGACTAACTGGAATTTGCATTTCCCGCTAGGGATTGAGGTGATAGCTCCACTGTAAAAAAATGCCAAGTTGCCATATTTATTAATTTATTTCCTTATATGGTTATTCGTTTTGACACTTTAGTTTTGTATTATTAGTTTTTAGTTTAAACGAATTGTGTTGTGATACTTTAAGCTTAAAAGTTTTTACTTGCAGACCTTGCTGTCGAACTATAACGAACTGTTGTTCTTTTTAGAACTTCTTTTAGTGCGAAGTGGTACAAGATAGCTTCATAGCCGTTGCAAAAATCGCATCGCAAATTTATTAGAACGTTTTGAACAGGAAAGCGGTAGTAATGGCCCTGTATGTCCCTTAAGTGCTGTTAAGGAGTAGTGCTGGAGTAAATAATAACTGTTTATATATTTATAATTAATTTATTTTTGTTTCCTAAAATATTTTGATTAGAAGAAAATGTATTAAAATAGGCAATGCTGCACCGGTCAAGCTTAATCACGTGATTAAGAGTTTATTTGATACGAACTATGGTAATCGCAAAACAATTTCCGGTGCATGTGATCAACTTTGAGTGACAAGATATGGCGACAGCGCTGCCAGATTGTGATGGATTTATGAGATGAATCTTAATTTAAAATTGACAAACAACATATTTATTATATCATTTTTTAAAGAGTTTTACGTTTTATTGTTAATTTAATAACTAATATTTTAGTGATTAATTATTGATTTATTTGTTTTATAGCTTATTTTACTTATCGTACTACATATCGTTTACTACCTACATATTGCCAAAAACTAGTCCATTATGAATATTATTATAAGCGTTATGGGTTATTTACTTATTTATTGATGTACGAGCCCTAACAACTATATGTTGGGACAAGATCATATTTTGGAATTATTGCCTTGGTTTTTCAAAATGACTGAAAAATATAAATTTATTTTTTAAAATATAACCATAGCCATATATCCTAACAACTTGACAATATTTTTATGAATTTGTAAATCAATCCATATTTACAGTAGCGGATTTTGTTCATAAAAGGACAAATTTGCTGACAACTAAATGTTGGGACAAGTATTTTTAAATAATTAATATCATCATAGGCGGCTTTGCTATAAACGTCACAAATGTCGCAAACTGTTTACTTCAGCATTGACAGCTTGTAAGTAACTCGATACTTTGAGTAGTGAGATTTACTGTAAGTAATTTTACTTTTTTTAATTTTCAATTTTGTTAATTTAATTCAAAGTAATGGTCCGTGGAAAAGCTACAAATCAAAAACTACGCGAAATTTTCATTCGTCAATACAGTATGGGAAAAACAATTCGAAAAATTTCTGATGATTTAAGTATTCCAAAAACCACCGTCTTTAATATAATAAAAAAATACGGCGAATCTGTCAATGTAGACGTTAGAGGTAAAAGTTCGGGAAGGTCAAAAGTTGTATCTCAGAGAGATTTACGAAATTTAGTAAAAATTTGCAAGTCTGCGAGAAGAAGTACTCTTCGCGAAGTAACAGTTAAATGGAATACTGTAACTGGTTTAAATATATCAGGAGAATGTTGCCGAAAATATATCCATAAATGCGGTCTGGGGTTTTACAAGGTAAACTTTATTTTGTGTGCATAATCAATTACCTTAAGATTATTGAAGATACAAATTCTTATTTAGGCCAAAGAAAAACCGCTACTGACAGAAATTCAAAAGAAAAATCGCTACAAATGAGCAAAATCTAAATTATCGTGAACACAAAATGATTGGAATAAGGTCATATTTAGTGATGAGTCTAAATTTGATGTTGCGTTGGAGATCATCGAAAACGAATAACACGAAATAAAGCAGGAGCCTTTCATATAAAGATTGCTTAAAAAAGGGTTGTTAAATTTCCTAAGGGGATTATGGTTTGGGGTTGCATGTCAGCAAGGGGTTTGGGCAAATTAAATTTTATAGATGGCACTGTTAACGCCCAAAAATATCAACATATACTTGAGAAATCACCTTTACCTAGTGCTCAACAATTGTTTCTAAACGAAGACTATATTTTCCAACAAGATCGGAGCATCGTGCCATTCAGCAAAATCAACTAAAAATTGGTTCGGTAATAATAATGTAAAAGTTCTATCCCATCCTGCAAGTAGTCCGGACCTCAATGCTATAGAAACTGTGTGGCATAAAATGAAGCAATATTTAAGAAACCACCCTCAACGACCAATTTTTGATTTGCGGACAAATCTGCAGGAAATTTGGGATAATTTTTCTCCTCAAATGTGCCAATCTTTGGTAAATACAATGCCATTAAGAGTTCAGGCAGTTGTTAAGGCCAAAGTTGATGTAACTCCGTATTAAACAAATTTCTTGTTGTGCTGTCCCAATATAGTTGTCAGAAAATTTGGCTTGATTTTGGCAAAATAAGCCATTATCAAAAGTGACTTGTTTGCAAAGTTATAAAAGTATAGTAAAATTGTCTAGATGATATTGTAATGTTTGAATTTAAAATAATAAACAAAATAAATGGAGTCGTTTTAACAAATTCCAATTTTTATAGCAAAAAAAGACCTTGTCCCAACATATAGTTGTTAGGGCTCGTACAACTTATAATACCACAGTAAGAGGGTGCTATTAAAGCACAAACTAATAATCACAGAATTTAATAAAAACTTACTTTGAAAATGGTATAATGTGCTTATCAATCAAACTTACTTTTCTGACTGCAGTCAAGGACCTTTATTGTCATGGTCTTTGCTTCGACTGTTTAAATGCTTCGACATATTTTCAACCCACAAATTTCAAGAAATTCAATACAAAAACTCGAAAATTTACTTCTTAAAAGAACTGTTTGTACTTAAAAGTGCAGTTTTTTAAAAAAAAGCTATGAAAATAGGCAAAAAACGAGAATTACTCACAAAGATTCAACAACACGATATTATACAAAATAATGACTGACACTAGGATAATTGTCAAATAATAAAGGACAACATTGCTGAACGCGGCGCAATGTGACCAACATAGCCATAATAAAATTCGGTTTAAACTAATTTTTGCAGCTAATATTTGTTACAATCATTTGCTCTATAAAGTAAAATGAAGAGCTGCTCGGTATCTTAAAGTATACAACAAATTTAAACATTTTTGCCAAAATTTCATTTAGTCAGGTTTATAGACTTAAAATTGATTTATTGTTAAATAATTTTGTGAGACACCTGTTTTTTTCGGTACTTGCGTGTGCCGTAGCCATTGAGTAAAGCCGTAAGTGAAGCCGGTGAACAGGCAGTTCTAAAAAGTTTTCTAAAATATAGAGGAATATTTAAAAATAATGCACCATTTTCTACATCTTTTTTTGCGAAAAAAAAATCATAGACATGTTCCTGCTATCCATATATCACCCTTAAATGTATTTTCACTTATTTAAGACTCACCCTGTATAAGCGTTTTCAGGAAATGCTGGCCTCGTTATCAATTGAAACATAATACCTGTCTACAGAAGTTTTATGGTGTAGATATCGACTCAGAGGAAGACTCGTTTGCGAGAGCGGGGATCTGCAGTACTTTGAGTCAGATACAAATAGTGAGACAGAATAGTAAATGTATGATATCTGTTTTGAAATATTAAAAAAATATATTTATAATATAATCGTATACATGATTTATCTACATATACTTAAATGGATGAGGCGGCGAGCGTTCCCTGAAAGCGCTAGATAACTGTCTGCACCTGATTTAGCCACGATCTTTTTGTCTGCCCTTTTGCATACGACTTTTAAAATAAATAAATATGACATTCCACCAATCGGCATGCATGTATGCCATAAATTTTTTTCATTCTTCAAATTTCATTTTTTAATAATTTTCGAGATAATTTTTAAAATTTCATGCCCTTCGCGTTGTCTGTCGGCATTTTAGCGACTAGAAAAATGTCTGCCAATAATTTTCCATGTTTCTTAATAATAAATAAAAGCTATTTTTGCAATTATAACCCGTGTACCTTATAATATTTTTAGTGTCAAAATTTCACCCTTTCGATTGGCCATCCCCCTTTAAGCCCCGAGATCGCGCTGGCAGACATGACAAGGATATCTCACACAATAAATTAGCCATGTAACGATGAGAAGGCTTATTATGTAGCCAGCTCTTAGACTATTTATCTTTCACAGAATATTTCACGTAATTTTCGATTTTCAACCAAATGCGATTTCAATAAAGATAACGCATTTGCATTATCCTTCATATCTTATTCAGTTACGTCTAAAAGCAAATCTAATATCAGAAGCAAAATGGGCTGTTATAAAGGGATAGCTTGTCGGAGGAAAATAGCATTATTATGTCGGAAAGCTTGAAGTTTTGTATATAAAGTTACATTATCTTTTTGAAATTCTGTAGAAATAAAGAAAACATGCACTATACCAACATATACGTTTCACATCAGAATATCTCTATGCAGAAACTATAATACAATACGATCGAAAAAAAAACGGTTTTGGCTATGGTTATGAAATGAAGTTCGCTGTCATTTTTTATTTGTAATATTTTATGGGGAATGTCATGGATCATCAGTTCTATGTTTTAGTAATTTTTAATCTAATAATAGAGAAGGCTGGTTTTTCTGGGTTTGTTTGTCAATCAATGTCATTTTTGTGACAGAAATCAAGGAAATATTGAATAAGTTCGAGTGAAATTCTCATTTAATTTCTAAAATTTGTAATAATATTTTGTATTTACATCCAAAAGCAATGGAGGTAGGCAGTAAAGGTAAATAAATTTCATTAACTAAATAGGACCTAGGACCATTTAAACTTATCATGCAGCCATTGTTTCTTAAAGTCAGGAACATTTAAAGAAAACTTGAAAAACAAGACAACAAGTAATTGTGAATGCATAAAAGATAAATTTTATAATAGAGGTATTGAAATTTAGAAAACGTCAACATTTGACGTTTCAAGTATTTGACAAAACCGTTCCGTATAAAACCGATATTTTTCAGGAACCGCTGTTCACCGTAATTTACCGGTCTGGTTCGCCTGGTTTTGCAACGGAATACAGCCTTAGGATGTATTCCGTTGCTTACCTTAGTTATGGTTTTATGTTCCATTTCTATCGGTTTCCTGAAAGTTTTCTTATTACGGAACACGGTTCCTGAAAAATTCCGTTTTAACTGTCACCAAACTAATCAGCGCGAGAAGGCGGGTTTTTCTGGTTTTGTTTGTCAATCAATGTCATTTTGTCATTTTTTGACAGAAATCAAGGATATATGGGAAGTTCGAGTGAAATTCTCATTTAATTTCTGAAATTTGTAATAATATTTTGTATTTACAGCCAAAAGCAATGGAGGTAGGCAGTAAAGGTAAATAAATTTTATTAACTAAATAGTTTTAAGGACCATTTAAACTTATCATGCAGCCATTGTTTCTTAAAGGCAGGGACATTTATACAAAACATGAAAAACAAGACAACATAGATAAATGAAACAAGTTTAGATTGGAAAGTGCCCATAAGGACAATGTAAACACTATTTGGCGCTATTCTTGCAACGGTCGCGACCCAAAACTTTTGAAAATTTCGGAGCGGTTCGGCTTTTTCCGGAATTATATCGCCAAATATTGTTTATTCAAATTTATTATTATTTCCATTTAATTTTATAAATAAAAGACGGTGTGTTGCATACAAGAAACTTTATTTTATATAAGGACGCATGTATGAAATACCTATAAAACATTGGAAACCGACGTTATGCCACGATCCCCGATGGTTTTTGCAGTTCACAGTTCATAGCACAGCTTTTTAAGTTTTTAATGCCACTTTTTCACAATTATCACCGGTTGGAGTAAATAAAACTTGAATTAAACTCACAAGATAACAATTATTACTTTCAAAATGGACGCTATAAACACTTTTTGGAATTTCTTTAATGAGAGCGGTTTTGATTTTGAAAGATTATTATGATTTTTGACTTTGACAAGAGAAAATTATTTCTGTATTTGTTTGTCGTTGTTCTTAGCGACCGCTATAGCAGCGCCAGATCGCGTATAACGGTCGCGACCCAAAATAATTTCGCGACCTAAAATTTTTACGGGCTTTCCAATCTAAACTTGTTGCATTTATCTATGCAAGACAACAAGTAATCGTGAATGTTTTGTAAGCTACTTTTCAATATTAAACTCGAAGAAAACGTAAAAGCAGAGAATAGGTAGCTACATTAAAATGCATAAAAGATAAATTTTATAATAAAGGTATTGAAATTTAGAAAACGTCATCATTTGATTTGGTTTGATTAACAATATGCAATAATGGGCCCAACTACAAAGAGAGTCTCTGAATATGTGGGAGAGGCTGCTAATCAGGATTGATTGAAGTATTCAAGTATTTTAGGTTATTTTCTGTTTTACCGGAAATAATTACAACTTTTGAATTTTAAATAGTACCGCGATATTTTTTACCTTATTTGATAGAAAATGACATTCACAACTGAATGACATGTCATATATCAACTTTTAATATTTTCGCTTATAAAAATAGCATTTTAAGTTTCAATCTAGAGTGCTAAAAACACAACACTAATTTTTAATCAAGGAACCTTGGAAAACTACACTTGATAGTCTAATGTTTCTGTGATGTTTTCTGGCCGGTTAAAAGATGCACTAATCTTATTATTTATTAGTACTTATTATAATACGTTAATAACTAATATAAATAATAAATAATCGTCTAACCAATATTTTGATGGAATTGGTAATATCTGATAGAAATACTGTTATCTGTCGGCGTTATAAGAAGAATAACTTTAAAGTATAACTTTAAAAAGAAATCAATCAAATATATTATCTAAGCTTAATTTTACCTCATTTATTTTTTGACGTAAAGGACGTGTTAAGTTTGAAGGTAATAAATAATCTTCCAAAGTTTAAATAACACTAAACCCCAAATGGCTTAACTACTCAGTTACAACGGCATTATTAATTAAGTTTTAAGTGGAGTATGAATAACAAATAAATTTCAAACAAAGTTAAAGTTAGTCGGTCACGCGACGATGTACGAACTTGAGTCGTATGTACAATTCGCTCCGAAAAATCTATAATATATCAGAGGCGACTCGTTTTTAAAACGATAAATTAAATATTAAAGCTGCAATTAAAGAAAAGCAAAGAAAAAAATGCAGAGCAGTCTTGTGTATTAAGTACATTATTTAGAAAATAAAAAAATTGGTCAAGTGCGAATCGGAATCGCGCACGAAGGGTTCCGTACCATTCATTATCTATACAACATTAGACACTATATTATTATAAACTTTTTTTCCGATTTAGCTGAAATTTTGAATGCGCGTATAAGTAATTAAAAAAAAATGAAGAAACACATTACTAAAAATTGTATTAATCAATAATAAATATGTAAAAAGTAAAAATAAATATGTAAAAATTAAAAAAAAACGATTAAAAAAAAGTCGCCTTGACTAGTATTTGAACCTGCCTTACTACGGCTCCAACGTTATAGCAGCGTAAAGTCCTAGCACTTTAACCACGCGGCCACCGAGGACTTGGCCTATGTAAAATTCTTACTTAAAAGATAATGTTTAGTGAAAGTACTTTTTTATTTATAAAAATTTATTTAATTCTGTTTTTAGTATTTGTTCTTATAGCGGCAACATAGATCATCTGTAAAAATTCAACTGTCTAGCTATAACGGTTCATAAGATAGACCTTTGTGACAGACGGACGGACAGCGAAGTCTTAGTAATAGGGTTCCCGTTTATACCCTTTGGGTACGGAACCCTAAAAATTACACAGGCCGACAAAAAAAAATTTTTTCGATGTAACACAAAGCTCAATAGGATATTGTGGTAGAATGAACCTATCTAATCACGAAAGTGGCAAAAAAAAAGTCGTAACACGTAAGGTTTTTTTGTTACATTAATAAAACATCATTCAATATTACAATATTCAATATATTAAGATAGCTATTCAAAACATGATTTAAGAACTTCTTAAGCCTATATACCGATTATATTTTATAGTTTACACTCCTCAAACATTACTTATACCTAAAAAGTACAAAAACAATCGAAACGAGATCAAAACATAAACAAAAACTTTTACTTTTTCCTTTTATGAGGGACCGCGTCTTCTCTCTTCAAAAACCAACAGTAATCACCCATCATGGCTGGATCCCATCGTCATTGATAACGAATTTCCATTGTCCTTATGTCTTGATGGAATCTCTCACCTTGCTCATCACTGACAGCACCCATATTTTCAGGGAAAAATGACAAATGAGAATGGAGAAAGTGAATTTTTAAAGACATTCGGGCACCAAGCGATTTATAAGCATCTAAAAGCTCATTAACCAATTGTTCGTAGTTCGCATCCTTATTGTTTCCCAAAAATCCCCTCACTACACTAACAAATGAGGTCCATGCTCTGAGTTCCTGCCTGGTAAGCGTGTCTGTGAAATTTGTGTCGTCCAACAATTTCCTGATTTGTGGTCCAATAAAAATACCCTCTTTCAATTTGGCATCACTCAACTGGGGAAAGACTTGCCTTAGGTATTTAAATCCATCACCTTCTTTATTCATAGCTTTCACGAAGTTTTTCATGAGGCCAAGTTTGATATGAAGAGGAGGCAGGAGGACGTCTTTGGGGTCTACAAGAGGGATATACTTGACATTTTGGGAACCCGGTTGAAATTCACTTCTTTCTGGCCAAATTTTCTGTACATAATGATGATTTACTGCACGACTGTCCCACAAACAAAGAAAACAGCAATATTTTGTAAATCCTCCCTGAAGTCCCACTAAAATTCCTATAACTTTCAAGTCCCCACATATCTGCCATTTATACCTGTTGTAGTTGATTCTATCTAAAAGCATGCGCATATTTTCATAAGTTTCCTTCATTGTCACTGAATGGGCAACTGGTATAGAGGGTTTTAAATTTCCGTTATGCAATAACACAGCTTTTAGGCTATATTTCGACGAATCTATGAATAAGCGCCACTCACAGGAGAATGTTCTATAGAAAGTTCCTGCATTAAGCCATCGATATCAGTACATGCACACAACGAATCCTCCATACTGTAGAATGCAGAGAACGGAGCATTTCTTTTTCTAAAAGTGGTGATTTTTGTTTCATTGGCTAACAGATTCCATTCCTTAAGCCGGGATCCAAGAAGTTCTGACTGCTGCTTTGATAACCCCAAGTCACGCACTAAGTCATTCAACTCGCTTTGAACAATCAAATGTGGCTTGTCGGAACCGCCCTCTGGGGTAAAGGTAGGATCAGTACACTGGTCTCCAGAGCTGTTTGATTCAATATCTTCCTTATCTTCCAAAACAATACCTTGCCAGTCTAAGGGCGCGATCGGCACTGGGAGATCTGCACCATGAAGAACAGGTCGTATGGCAGACGGCAAATTGGGATACTCGATCTTGTGCTTTTGTTTTTTGGAAAAACCTTCAGTTTTCGTCAGGCAAAAATAGCAATCGTCAAAATGGTTAGTTGGTTCTCGCCATACCATTGGAACCGCAAATGGCATTTTTTCCTCTTCCCTTTCATCCACTGCACAAGCGACACGCTACAAGTAACGCAGCACACATGAGGAGCCCACTGCTTGTCTTGATCTCCAACCAAAACTCCAAAATACTTGAAGTAGGCTTTCTTCACATTTTCAGAAAATGGTCTGGCTTGTGATTGCACCATAAATTCTCCACAAATGTAACAAAATCGATCAGGAGACACTTTACAACTGCGGCGCGTTTGACTTGACATTTTCGTACTATTTATCTACACGCATAGAACAACTCACGTCGAAAATCAACTGAAAACTGAACTCTCTTATGTTTTTCACAATATATTATAGTGCACAAAATGCGTCCCTTTCAATCATCCCATCATAAAATTTACCTGTATGTAAACGAATCTACCTAGACTTAATACCTGACATCTATAAAATTGACTACCTGCAAAAAAGAGGCGTAATTAGGCAACTGAAAAGTGGTACGTGTAGGAGCTTCAGGAGTATTTTTTCTGTTATTAGAAGCATATTTTTATGAAGAAATTCTGCAACTGACTCGTGTTACAAAAATCATGTCGGCCTGTGAATTATTAGAGATATTATTACGTTTCTATTAATCTAAATAAATTAGTTTCACAATAAGCTACTAAATAAAAGTAAAAATATTGTTGTCCAAAGAACGAGTTTCTTTTTAATACAATTTAACACCCTTTATATTTAAATAAATGTAATTTTATTATTTTATTATTATTACGCCAATATTAGTTATTTATCGTCATTTTCAGCTTATTCAACCATTTCCAATTATGGTGTAGCCTCCCTCACATATTTAGATACTCTCTTTGTAGTTGGGCCCATTGTTGTCTATTGTTATGGCTAAGCAAGCCCAAGTTATTCCTGCTAATTTTCTAATATCATGGTCCCATCTCAGGTTTGGTCTTCTTCTAGGTCTCTTAATTCCTCGTGGGTACCATGCTGCAATTTTTATGCTCCATTTGTTGTCTGTCCTTCTTGCCAGGTGTCCTGCCCAGTGCACTGAGGTATTTGATTCTTTAGATGACATCTATTACCTGGGTCTTTGGTCGTATTGTCGATCCCAGCATATTTCGTTCCATTGAGCGTTGTGCAACCTGCAGTTTTCTTATAATGTCCGTTTTGGGTGTCCAGAGTTCATATGCATACGTCATGACTGGTAGTACACATTAGTGGAATGTTTTCTTCTTTAAATAAAGTGGTATTCTAGTTTTTAATATGATTGAGTTTACCTTCAAAACTCCATGCTAACTTAATTCTTCTGTTGATTTCTGGTAGTAGAGATCCCGAGCTCTGTATTAGTTGTCCCAAATATATACATTCTTCTACTATTTACAGTTTTTTATTATTAATTAGGGATGCGGTAATATCTGTTTTACATCTTAAATGGAATTGGGCAGTACATATGTCTAGAATGACAGATGGACGGTGGACAAAGAGACTTGTGGAATGGAGACCAAGACACGAAGCCTATAGAAGCAGAGGACGACCTCCTAGTCGATGGGCAGAGGATATTAAGAGAGTGGCTGGAAACCGGATTCAACTGGCACAAAATAGAAAGAAATGGTTAGAGTTGAGGGAGACTTTTGTTCAGCAGTGGACAGAATAAGCTAAATGATTATGATGATCTTATTTATTAGAATATCTTTTCTGTCTACTAGTTCGTTGTACATTACTTTAGTTTTTTACCTGAATTAATATTGAGACCTACTTTATTGCTGGCCGTAATTAGTTCGTTAATTTGTACTTTTAGTTTTTCAGTACTATTGGTAATTAGGTCTATATCATCAGGGAATCTTAAATTTCTTCTAGACTTGCTGTAAACAGCTTTGAGGACATCTCATCCCCCTGTCGTACTCCTTTGCCAATTGGGAATTCTGGGTTTTATATATCATTACTCTGCTGGTTTCTCTGTATTCTGTTGTTTATTATTTTTGTGAGTATATTACTGGTAGTAGATTTATTGGCCTATAGTTTCTGATGACTACTTTGCTGCCTTTCTTATGATTTAGAATTATGATTTCATGTGACTAATAATAGTACATAATAACAAAAAATCAAAAATAATAAAAAAAGCAAAAAAAAACAAACAAAAAAACAATAAAAAAATTTTATAGTAATTTAGTAAAAGTAAATGTGTGTAATGGTATAATGTCAAGTTTCTATTTTTGTGGTTTAAATATTGCATAAAATGTAATAATACTACTATATTATAAAAAATGTCTATACCTATGTGGCGGATTCATCTCTCTAAAAAATCCTATACGGGTGTTTCGCCACTGCAAGAAAATCTACAAAATAAAATAATTATTTTATGTAAACACTTCTGCGTTAATTCCAAATGGAAACTACTTGTCAGAAGTTAGGTTTAACAAATTTGCCTAATGAACAAAAAAATAAATTTTATATTGGTGAAACATCTAGACCCTTAAATGTTCGAATTAAAGAACATAAAGATTATGTAAGAAAGGGAGATTTTCACAAATCTAAGATTTGTCAGCATTCGTGGGACACAGGGCACAGAATAAATTTTAATAACGCGAAAATTATAATGAAAGAAGCGACAGCCTCTAAAAGAAAAATAAAAGAGGCTTTTTTAATACAATCTAGTAAAAATAAATGTATTGCTCATGCATCTGTAGATGTTAGTAATATATGGCAATCGCTTTTTTGGTTTTAAAGAACATAACATACGTAAAAATTAAAAATAATCATACAGAAAGTTTGGGGCTCTTTGGTTTTACCTTATTAAGTAATTGTTATCAGGTAGTAATTGTTATTTTTAAAGTTTAACTTGATATAATGTCATTTTAACAGAACGTCAACGGTTTTTGTAGACGTATCTGTTTAAAAAAAAACTAAAGTGAATTTAAATATTTTAAATAGTTTTTTCTTTTTTCTTTGAATTTTTTTGCTTCCGACGACGGAAAGGGATAAACTTTCCGAACGTTAAGCATTTTTTTGTTCGTTAGGCAACTTTGTATATCTTTGAACCTAACTTGTGACAAGTAGTTTCAGTTTGGGATTAACGCCAGAAGTGTTTACATAAGATAACTATTTTATTTTGTAGATTTTCTTGTAGTGGCGAAAAACTCATATAGGATTTTTTGGAGAAACTAATATATTATATTATACCTACGGCCATGATTATATCCAATGTTCCAAGTTTGCGTAATGTTTACCCCGAGACTATTCCATATTCAAGCCTCAATCTTTTATTTACATATTTCTGTAATTAAGCCGACCTAAAAAGTGAAATATAACCGTCTCATCCGTAAATTAACATATCCACGAAAAGATCCGAAGTCGAGGCGAGTTCTTCCAACAGCGAGTAATTTATTGGGAACGATAAGAGACGGAATTTATGGAGAAAAACATGGCATTCCTTCCTACAAGACATGAAAAATATTTTTGTATCGTAATTTAGAATTTTTGTGTCCGGACATTTAGTAATTGCCGACAAGATAAATGCAACCATGCTGGCGCAAGATTAATTATACTTGGATTGCTATTTCATATTAAATAGATAGTTTATATAATGTTTTTGGCGAAATAAGTTCTATTGCTTTAATAAAAATTGATTCTCTGGAATGTCAGTATATTCTTGAAGTGAAACTTCTTTACGCGCGTTGGGAGTAAAAATTCAAGGCCGTGACACATGAGCTAGCGTCAAGAAAAGTGGTAACGGCAGTACTGTCACAGATACCCTGTTCGGGATAGATCTAACCCTTTGTAAAATAATTGAACTCGCTCTGGGCAACGATTTGTGCCATACGCTGCTATGAAAATCACTATAATAATCTTGATACTGTACCTGGTGTACCAATATCCTATAGATGTGTGCTAGGAAGTAAATTTTCATGCATATTTTCATAGACAGGTTTGTAGCTTCCGAATAACGGTCTAGATAAAGCATATATCCGGTATAATTTAACAAAATTACTGTAAACTATTATAAATCCGAATTGTTGGTTAGGTTCAAAATGTTTTCTCTTCTTAAATAAATTTAAGCGTAAACATTATTGTGCATGACATAGAACAACTACGAATTTTTTGGATTAAAATAAGATAATTGCACATAATTTACCTTGATACAAAAGTGCATTATTTGTCCGTTAGAGGGCACCAATCAAAAATAAACCCGAACATTAATTAATTTAAAAATTATTTTTTTTATCTTTTTATGAAGCTTGTGAAATATAATTTGTGATACTAACATAAAAGTCCATATTTTCGCCAACTAGATTATTAGAGCATAATGATGTGACAAAAAAACATTTTTTGGAAGTCAGCTTTGAAAAAAATCCGAAAAAATCTATTCATTTTTTTTTAAATTTGATGCCCTCTAGT